ACAACCAATATCAGCTTGAAGGCAGTTATTAGTCTCAAGCCATTCGTTTATCACACTTGAAAAGCTACATTCTGAAGCCTTGTGGGCTCAATCAAATATGTGGAGACTTCCGGTAGATTTTTAAGGCTGAATGGGTTTCTGAGGGTTCAAATCCTTTTCGCATCGCTGTTTTTGTTTGATAACTGCTGTTTAACGCCGCGCGTGCACAAGAATGCTGAGTTATGGGCAAAAGTCTTTTGCCCATAACTCAGCATTCTTGTGATACCTTTTCGAATTCTTTTTTTTCTTACTCAGCGGCGTTAAAACTCCTGATCTTTCCCATTTGCACCAACTAAGCACGCCTGGACTCAAACTTCATTACCGATGTGGAACTGGAGCCTTACTCGGAGGTCGTCTAAGCGTCAACCTACGACAAGCTTAGTTGGGACCAAGGAGAAGCTCCTGGCCGAGTGGAAACTCAATCAGCCGTTTCCACAGGCACACACAACTCGTCCGGTGAGCGCGACTCTCCCTCAATTTTACAGCTGCGTCTTTCTAACACGGTCGCTTTATCTTGACGTTTCTTGTGAGCGGTGATATAATTTACAGCCATTTAACTCACCTCGACCACCAGCACAGAAAATGACCCCGGCTACGCTTTTCCTAGGCCTGCTACGCAAAGCCTGAGACGATGGCGATAGAGGTCGTGGTATTGACTGAAAAAGAAAGACAAAATGGCTGTTTCAAAAGTTTAATTTGAAAAAAAAACCGCGAAAAAATGATAAAAAGTACGTTGAAAACCACAAAAACTCGTTTGACCAACCAGTGTCGATCCGGCGGCGTACTGCCCACCACACTCGTCATTAATCGCGGCACCAACAGGGATCGGCGTACCTTTCAGCGGTGCTAACATGATGAATAATGCTTCAGATACTAGATCCGTACATTCCCGTGATTCCTAAAAATGGGCAAAAGTTAAAATCGCTGTCTAGATTCAGCTGTAAACCGCATTAAGGGAGCTGCAAGGAAAAGCACAGCATTCCCTCTGAAAAAGAGAGCGAGGGAGGGTCGTAATTCGGCTCCTGGGGAGAGGGGCTTGCATTCGCTCTTGAGAATATTTTTTGATAGCTCATTTCTTCGTTTTGGACACTCGGCGGGATTCCCATACAGGGGTTGTGTTTTGGTCGACGGGGAAGGGAGATTCGTAGTGTTCCCGCGAGAGAAAGTTTTCCGCTCATGGGGATTTCTCCCGTTTGAGTGCGCTAGTTGTAGGTGCGGCAAAACTATTACCAATATCCATTTCTCACAATAGATTGTAGAGGTTGTATGGAAAGGATTCTCCCATTCCTCAACAGGAGGTCGTATTTGGTTGCTGGAGGGTTCATATTTGCCTTCTGAGCGTCTAAGAGAGGTTGCTGACTTTTCGTGGTTTTTCCTGTTTCATGTCTACTATATCTCCCTCCGCCCTTCCCGCCCCCCCCCCCCCCGCTCGACGGTCAAATTTTTCGGTAAAAGTAAGAAATTTTTCGAAATTCAGCAAAAAACGGTGGGAAGCTCGGGTGAACCCAGGAAAGGGTAGAGAAAGGGATCGTATTTCCTTCGCGGTTTTTCCCGTTCACATGTGCTCGACAGCGCAATGAGGAAGGAACTAGGTGAAGGGGGGGGGGTCATAGCAACCCTTAAAAAATAAGGGGGGGGGTCGTA